ACTGACATGTAAAGCACTTTGAATTGTCCTCTTGGCTGAATGAGCTATACAAACTAGACTTGCCTTGAGTATTTTAGTAAAATCTCTACAAAAACCTCAGTTTCATTTGAAGAGAGATAACAATAATTGATGATGCTGTCATTCCCATATCACAGTGTTGTTTCTACTGGTGAATATCAGTGTTGAATTTGTGCCAAACACAATGACAGGAATTGTGGCCTAAAGTTCACTTTAACAGTGGATAACACATTGCATAGCAATGTTTTGCAAGATATTAGGCATGTCTGGACTTGTTCTATGAAAGAAAAGGATTCAGTCTCTCAACCTTCCCTAAGAGAAGTCTTAAAGTACATTGTGTTCACAGATGACAGCTTATTTTGATTAATAAAAAATGAGGAGTCGTGTGCAAATACATGACTTAAAAATTCCATCTTGAATTTTTAAGCTGGAATTCTAAATTCTAAATGTTGCTGCAGTTTTTCCTCAGATTTAGACCTCAGAAACTTTTCAAGAATCTGAAAACTATTCATCATTCATTGGTTTGTGCCTGTTTTTCTTCCTTTTGTGTACTGGTGGTTATGTAGAAGCAGCATGATATGCTCAGTAACCCACACTAAGCCATATTTCTCCTTCTGGGTAAGGAGATATATTGCCCCATGGTATAAAGAAGTCTTGAAAGCCCATCATCTTGAAAGTATTGTGAGCCTGAACTGTGCTCTTAACCCGCTGGTTTACATGGGTGCTTAGTTCAGGCAGCTGCAGCAGCGATGTGAACAGATGTTCAGTTTCTGTTTCAAGCTGAAATCCAGCTCTGAAATAGTACCAAACACTGTGGTTTAACAAGTTTTATTTATTACAACTTAAGTTTTTGTTAAAAGAAGTTTTAAAGTACATTGTGTGTCACTGATTTAATAAGAAACAGGGTGTCAGGACTGCACACAAACACATTATTAAACTCTTCACCTTTACTTGGACTTTTGAGCTGGAAATTCTAATGCAGGAAGTTGATCAGAAATTCTGATTTCCTAAGATATCTGAAAACAACTTATCATTCAATGATTTGTGTCAGTCTTTCTTTTATGTGCTGTCTGTTACCTGGAAGCAGGATTATATGTTACACTTTTGGGCTGGAAGCCAGATTTAGTTGTGAAACCAAACCTACTTTCTAGGAATCAAAGTTAACGCCCTCTTAGGCTTGAGGCATTTTCTGTACTATTATGTTGCTTTCATCTGAAAGACTGTTGGGCTTGTCTGCCGCTTAACTCATGTTCAAGGAGGTACCCATTTAGGTTGTTTTCTTACTTGCTATCTTTATTTTGTGAGCCGAGCCTCAGACGAGAAGGACAGATAGGACTTGTTTCTGGAAGGCAAAATGACTACAAACAACTGTACGAAACTGGATGAGGAATTACTCACCAATAACAATGTCCTCCCTATTTTTTACATCTTTACATTTGTTGTCGGATTGATCCTGAATGCTTGTGGAATGTTGTGCTTGGTGAATAACTGGAAGAAGCTTCGGATTATTAACATCTTTTTTCTGAACCTCGGATTAACTAACCTGTTGTTTTTGCTCACTCGGCCCTTTATGATTGTGTACTACTTTAAAACGGCTAAATGGACCTTTGGAGAACCTTTCTGCAAAGTAACAAGATTCTGTTTTAAACTGAATTTATACGGCAGCATTGGATTCATCACATGTATCAGTGTGTACCGGTACATGGCCATCGTCCATCCAATCAAAGTGATGGGGAAATTAACTGTGATTCACGTGGTCATCTCTGTGGTGGTGTGGATTCTGGCGAGTGTTGGAAGTCTTCCAGACGTAATCTACCCCAAACAATCAGGGAACAATGAAACATGTCTTCCTGCCACTGATAAAGATCACATTGAGGAATACTTTGACTACAACCTCATCTGGACAATCTTTGGATTCTGCATACCTTTCATCATCATTGCAGGCTGCTATGGACATGTAGCTCTTGTCATCAGCCGCTCAAAACTGATGAATAAGAACCAGAAACGAAAAATTCTAAAACCGTTGGTTATTTTGATTCTTCTCTTCTCGCTTTGTTACACACCCTACCTTGTCTTGAAGAACCTCAGCGTGTATGCCAAATATGTGGGCTTTAAGAAGCCACCTTGCCCCACATGGTATGATGAAGTCTTTACTGCACGTCATGTTAGTCGTGGTCTTGTGAGCCTGAATAGTGCTCTTAATCCTCTTATTTACATGTATTTTAATGAGGACTTGAGTGCTCAGTTCAGCCAGCTGCAGCAGCGATGTTGGCAGATGTTCAGTTGCTGTTCCAAGCTGAAATCCAGCTCTGAACCAGTACCACACACTGATAATGAAGTTGAAAGTGCTTTATGACATGTCTTTTTTTTTCTTTTTTTTTTACTGACCATGTAACGAGTGAAATTTTTGCTCACTATGCTTTGTATTCAGCTGGAGATAGGCACCAGCACCCCTCCCGACCCCACTGAGGGACAAGGGTGTTCAGAAAATGGATGGATGGATGGATGGATGCTTTGTATTCATCTAATTTGTTGCTTCTTTCTACTAGATGCTAGAGATTAGGGTTAGAGTGCGGGTTTTTTATGTCTTCAATGTATTTCATGTTTTTATCTTTACTTTTTATCTATTTATTAATTTCTTTTTATTTCTCTTTCTCACTGTTTATGTTTTTATTTTAATTATGTAAAGCACTTCGAAATGCCTTGCTGCTGAAATGTGCTATACAAATAAAATTTGATTGATTGATTTGTTAGAGGTTTGCATGTTCTCATCTTGGGTATTAATGTTGCATTAATTTAGGCCTTTTATTGCTTATTTAAACTGTTCCTTTTTTCAGGTTGGACTGATAAGTTTCAAATCTTATCAGAACAGTTTGTATATTCTCTAATCTGCAGATGATCTAATGTGCCACTGGCAGTAAATACGACCCTAAAATGACACTACATAGCAACAACACAAACTATTACCAAGTGTTTTTGTCTAGTTTCTTGTGGAAACATCTTAGTACTCTTGAAATTCACTTTAAGCAAGAAATTTTTTTCGTAAGTAAAAAATAAATATGCCAGTGGAACTAGTAGTTATGATCAATAATCAAAAATTATTGATCTAAAACAAGCTCATGTACTTTGCTGAAGAGTTACTTTTAAATTAAGACAAAACTAGAAAATTGACAAAAATACTAGGTAAGACTTTGTGTTCTTGCGCATCAAGGACAAAATGACTGAGCCACACAGGGCGACCATTGCGGTCTTCACAGAATAAACTTGCCTTGTGAGCTATGGCTATGATTGTAACAGGCTGGTTATCAGAATATCTATGGTTTTGCTCAGAAAGGACTATGATAGCATTTTAAGATGCACATGAAACAACAGAACTGTGCAAAAGGCATTTTGTTTTGAAGTTGAGAAGTTATTCACAATATCTTAAAAATGTTCTGCCACCAATGTATGCACTGGTTTAATATTTTAATAAACTTAAAATCCAGGTTCTTTACCACCCCATGCAATAAGTTACAGGCTACTTGCACTAAATATTATTTTAATTATAATATTTCACTATTGCCATTGTTGTTGCTTTTATGGTCGCTGAATTGTTAGTTTCCAGTCCAGGACACAGAAAAGCCTGAAATTATTTTTATAGGTGTATTATGACTGAAACATGATTTGAGTGGTAAAAAAGATTGGAAAAGCACTATATAAGTTCAGTACATTCCCCATTTTACCGTTTAACCAACACGCAACTGAAATTAGGAAGGCAGCAGCCAATCTGAACAGGTTAAACATTTTGATTCAAACTGACTATGTTCATCAGCCATGCTTGACTGATAAACAAACCTTCAGTCACTAGGTGGCAGCAGTGTTAAAACTAACCAATAGGGAATTCATAAATTGAAGTTGGAAATTGTTTCAAGACTTAAAACCATAAAATGATCAGCAACAACTTAAATTTTAAGTTGTTGCTGATCATTTTAACAATCTTTTCTATTAATCAGGTCATAGAATGCTCATGCCAGTGGTGTGTATCGACAAATTATTAAATATCAGATTATCTATAGCATTTCATTTCTGGGACTAAAATGGTTGCAAAGAAAACGTATGGTCCCTACGGGGGGCATGATAATTGTCCTACTGGCTGTAGGACCAGTAAGCTTGGACAGGAAAGTGGTAAGAGAGGCGGCCACTTTATTAAATAATATATTTTGGTAACCTATACTCACCATATGTTTCAGTTTTATTGTCAGTTTCACTGCAGTTGTCCATTAGGTTATAGTACATTAGCTTGTGTAGATATTCCTTTAGGTTTATTTATCAGCTAGATTTAACATTATGAATACTGTCTTGTATAAAACAAAATATCTAACAGCTTATGGTATGGAAATGCATATCTGCAAATTTTTGACTTTCAAAAATGTGTAACCTGCTAACAAAACCTCTGACAGGAAATGGTATTGTGGTAATTTTTATGCGAGATGATATTTGTTGTCACAGCTAAGCTTGAGCTCAAGCAGGAAATTATTTAGGTTGTTTTTGTCGACTCCGTCTTCATTTTGTAAGCAGAGCCTCAGAGGATAAGAGCTGATCTGACTTGTCTGGAAGACAGAATGACTTTATCCAACTGCACTCAACCCGATAAGAAATTGTTTGGACATACACTCCTGCCTGCTCTCTACATGTTGGTGTTTGTTGTTGGATTGGTCCTGAATGTATGGGGAATGAAGTCTTTGCTGTGCAACTGGAAGAAATAATCTGGCTGGAACATTCTTGTTCTTAACCTTGGACTCGCAGATATTTTGTATTTACTGACTTACCCCTTTCTCATCGTGTACTACTTTAAAGAGAGTAAATGGATCTTTGGAGAACCTTTCTGCAAGGTAACAAGATTCAGCTTTAAACTGAATTTGTACGGTAGCATTGGATTCCTCACCTGTATCAATGTGTACCGGTACCTGTCCATCGTTCATCCAATGAGAGTGATGGGGAGATTAACTACGACTCGGTCTGTGGTCATGTCTGTCCTTGTGTGGACTCTAGTAAGTGCTCAAAGTTTACCAGACTTGTTCTTCCCCAAGAATTCAGTGAACAAGACTGAAAAATGCTTTGATACAACTGATCATTATCATGCTAAGGAATACCTGACCTACAGTCTCTGCTTGGCATTCTTTGGATTCTGCATCCCTTTCGCCATCATTGTGGGCTGCTATGGACATGTGATTCTTGTCATCTGCCGCTCAAATACGCTGGCAAAGAACCAGAAACACCAAATCCTAAAACTGATGACTTTATTAATTCTTCTGTTTTCTCTTTGTTATGCACCCTACCATGTTTTCAAGAACTTCAGGCTGTATTCCAGAGTTTTACATGACAATGAAATATGCCCCACATGGGATTCTGGAGTCTTTATTGCCCATCAGGCAAGTCGTGGTCTTGTGGGCCTGAACAGTGCTCTTAACCCGCTGGTTTACTTGCATGTAAATGAAGATATGGGTGTTCAGTTCAGGCAGTTGCTGCAGAAATGTAAGCAGATGTTCTGCCGGTGGTCCAAGCCAGAATCCAGCTCTGTGCTGGTACCACAGGCTGAGCAAGAAACTGATAGTGCTTTATGACAGCAAGTAGTTTTTGTTAAACCAACCATGTCTTTGAATTTGATGTTCAGCTCTGTATGCTTTGCATAAGTTTTACCTGTTTTGTCTTGTTGCCAGAGGCTAGAAAATTCATAATTTAGAAATATCAGATATTGTGTGATATGAGCATGTTGAAATCCAGTTCAACATCCAGTCTCTTTTTAGCTGATTTTTGTTCTCATCGTCACAGGATTAAAATTAGTTGTTTTGAAAAAGTGTTTGTCTCCTGGCATGTTATTTTCTGTTACTGTTTTTCTGACACTCAAATGTTTGTCATCAATCACTTTCTAACATAAGACAAATATATCCTGAGTAAATATAAAATACAATTTTCACATTATGATTTAGTTTATTAAAACTGAAAAAAAAATATTCTGATTTCCACCTAAACCCAATAACTACTCCCATCTAGTGTTTCAGCTGGATATCTGGCTGGAAATTAGTTTTTTACGTTGCTGTGTAGGAATTTTATCTTTGTTCCTGTTTTCAGGTTTGTTTTGATTCAGTCAGATTTTATTGTAAAATTTGACAAGGTCACTCCAAATACAGTATTAGGTTTCGTTTCAACTCATTACACTGTTTTGTTTTTTATTCTTCTACCTTCATGTTTCTGTGCGAACTTTGACATTTTTGTCTTAGCATATTTATTAGTACAGTAATATTTTACCTAAAACCGCCTCATTGCTCTCCTCCTTCAGTCAAACAGTGCCTAGGCAGTTGAATTTTCCTACTGGTTGTTGCGGGACAGCTTGGTACAACTTCAGCCTTGCATTCAGGTTTAAAACCATCTCACTAACAGAGACGCTGCCCCGCCTGAAGGCGAGTCAATTGTTGAAATAATGGGCCGAGCGTGGTGACAGGAAGCTTTGATTGTAGCGTTACTGAGCTCCTCTTTACCTTGATTCTATTTTTTTTGTACTAAATTTTAAATCTACTATAATAAAACCCTCAATTATTTTTTTCAGCAGATTCAACCATTGGTAATATCGCTGTGTCAAAGACCAAGAAAGCTTCAATGTCAGTGAAG